GAATGAACAATTAGTCAAAAAAATTAAATAAGGTAGACTTAGAGTTTGCATGTGTGTGTGCACGTGCGTGTGTGTGTGCATGTGCGTGTGTGTGTGTGTGTGTGTGTATGAGGAAAGAAAGAGAGAGAAAACAAGAGAGAGATTCTCATACATTTCTATGGTTTAATTTGAATGAAATTCAGCTTTTGGTTCCTGCTTCTTCAGAGCATCATTAAAATGTTTTAAATCATTCTGTTAAACCTTAAAAAAAAACTAAAATATTTTAGAATCCAATTTTTAAAAATTAATGAGCACATTAATCTAATGTGTATTGTTGAAGGACATTATCATGCCATGTTAAGAGAACTAAGTATAACAGCACTTGAAGTAGGGTAAAATAAACATGCTAATTAAACATGCATATGATATCAGGTAATATATCAGCTAATATTAAATACTTTCTATGTTATGCTGGCTATTACAACTATTACACATGTAGTTGAACAAGACGTTTATTTTGAGAGAGAGTCTTAAATTACCCAGAGAAAAATATTTGCAATATCTTATGTCTTGTTCACAAACAAGGAATTATAAACCTCATTATAGTCCTTGCTCAGCATTTAGATATAGGCATTAGAATTTTTGACATACTAATAGAAGAACATGCTTACAAAGGCTGTAAAAGACTAATATTTCATCCATTCATAAAAGCACTGATTATAATTATAATATTATGATACAATATTATAAGTATAAACCCTGATATTTATTTTTAAGTCAGTTACATGAAAATGGTTGTAATTTAGTTAATAGGATGCCTATCGATAAGCAATGAAGGGATGATTGAACCAAAAATGTAGGTTTTACTCTCAACTTTGTGACTAGTTTAATGTGTAACGTAGCCAATTTGTGCTACTGCTTCAGGGCTCAGTGTTCTCATAGTGAACAAGGAAAGTGACTAATCGGGACTTTAATTGTGGAAACTTCTTTTATACATCTGTTATAATGACTTTATACCTGTCTTATGGATTTTAATGAAGTGTAAAATATTTTGACACCAACTATCTATTAAACCCTGAGTGATTAAGAAAATATACACACCATTTAGATCATTCTGCATTAACTGCATGCCTATACTAAAAGGTGACAGGCCAAGCTGGCATGGCTCAGTGGTTGAGCATGAACTCTGAATCAAGAGGTCACAGTTTGATTCCTGGTCAGGACACATGCCCAGGTTGCGGGCTCGATTCCCAGTGCGGGGCATACAGGAGGCAGCCAATTGGTGATTCTCTCTCATTTTTCATATTTCTATCTCTCTCTTCCTCTCCCTTCCTCTCTAAAATCAATAAAAAAAACAAAATAAAAAGAGACAGCAGAGAAAATATTTTGCAATCTTTCACAGAAGAGTAAAATGTATTTCATTTAAATTTATTTTAAAGGCAGCATTGTAGTTGGAGTATACACACATAAACGTACGCGTATATACATATAAGTATATATAATGTCAATGTATTTTTCCAATGGAAATACATATTCATTCTAGCCAATGAAACTAAGAGGAGTACTACTATGGAAGAACTACTCAAATAAATAAAGGATCAGAAGAACAGTTAAATTTGTTTATTTCCTTGCAGTTATGTTTTTAGGTTTAAAGAAACTTTTTTTTTTTCAAGAAAATAGATATAAGATTATGAGCAAAATCCAAGGAGGAAACTATGGAAAATATGACCACAGTACCAGTGAAATAGGATTGTCTCAGTTGGCTATAAGGAAATACATTGAGAGAAAACCATATATAGACAGCTTTGTAAAGAACCCTGGACCTATGCAGATAAAATGTTTGACTTTTCTATAAATTTTGTCACTGCGATTGACATTTATCCATATGCTGCAGGATTTTAGAGTTTGGAAAAACTGAAGATAAATGAATTTGAATATTTGGGGACAAATTTAGAAATAGGAAATAGAAATAGGTCTGAGTTAATCTTTAAAAGATGAATAAAACATGTAGACTTGCAAGGTAAGGAGGATGCCATTCTAAGTAAAATTAACAGTGTGAGCAAAGCCCACACTGAGGTGGAAATATTTGTGAGATGCAGAAATTATTTTGAAAGAAGTGAAGCTTTATCAGAGAGAACTTGAAGTTAAGAATACATTGACAAAGGTCGTATTATGGAAGGCCTTTAGTCAGTCAACGGAGATAGATGGCCTTTTCCTTGACAATAATTTGAAATTATACAATTTTTGAATAGGAGAATGACATGATTAAAATAGTATTTGAGAAGGTTATTTTTCAGCAAGGTGCTGAAAAGTTTGGGTGGGGTAAGTGGAAGTAGTTAATCACATTTTCACATTTAATACTTTGAACTTAAATTTGAATATTATATATTTATTTACAAAAATTAAATATGTGGATCCAGAAATAGTTTAAATATGGTACAAAAATAGATATTACATTTAGATCTGTGCCTAACATAATTCACCTGAAAATAAGTTTATGCCCAAATGAAATTAACACTAAAATAAAGAAAGCAAAATTTCATTGAAATAGTATATTTCAGATGCTAAAATAATTAATTATGTAACCTGATTAATTACATTAATTTGCATCTGTCTCTTTTAGTAGAAACCTGTTAAATCAAGGTAACTCAAAAAGGTTAAGCCTTGACTGACCAGTAACTTGTCTTGTTAAAACTTAAAAGAGGAGTTTACAGTGTGTTTGTTTTAAAGTAATACAAACTATAAAGTCTGATTGTGAAAAACATCATTTCTTAATTTTCTTATGAATAGAAGAATGCTGAGATAAATAGGATACATGCTAACAATTTCAAAAAGCTTGCAGAGGTTAAAGACCCAGTGCTGTGTAACTAATACCCTAATTATACTGATTTCGTCCTATAAAGTAGATACATATTTTTAAGGTTTAATTAGCATCTTGGAGGTAAAGAAGAACTGCTAAAATGTGGTTCCTTTTTTCTGTTGTTGTTAAAGTACACATAATAGATGATATTAGAGCAATAATATTACTTTTTTAATATTTTTAATAATTTTTTCAGCATTTTCTTATAAGAATTTAGTTGTGACTTATCTATATTATAAAAGGCCTGTGGCCCTAACACCCTAATGACCAAACACCGGCACAGGTGGGTGGGGCTGAGCAATTTCGCGTGCTGAGCTTCTAGTATTTAAGTATTTTGAATACACCAAAATGATTTTAAAATTGAGAAAAGACTTTAAATTGATAGAATTCTAAATAGACATTTTCTTCCAGTATTTAATTACTGCTAGCACTTCAGAGATATGAAAATAAATTAGTTCTTCTCCTTACAATGGAAATAAATAGCTTCTGTTGAGCATCAGTAGGCATACAGGTGAATTCAGGTATAAAATTGTGCATAATGATCATGAGCATTAATACTTCGGTCATTATTATAAATAAATCAAAATTTTCCTGTAGCAAAGAAAATTCCTAAAATCATGTCAGAAGTTGTCCAGACCTTACTCCTTTTAAAGCCCTCTTCCTTAAAATATTTTCTTGATATATCTAAACAGGTAAGCTTATTATTATAGAAGACTCATTTCAAAACATTTATAGCATAGTTAGTTATTTGTAAAAAAAGGACACAAAGAGAGAACATTTAGAAACTGACCTCATTCACAGTGGCATAGTAGCTTTCATGCTTGAATGTGGGTGAGTTGTCATTCCTGTCTCTCACCACGATTCGAACTTCATGGTAGATAACAGTGCCCACCTTTTTGTTGACACACTGGACTTGCACCACGATGGAGTGTATGTTCATTGGTGGCTGCAATGGAGAAATTGTACGTTTTTAAAAAAACCTTATTATTATTGCTGTCAAAGCACTTATTTAATAAAATTTTCTATGCTTGTTCATTTTCACATGATAATAATCTACACAAATTGATCCAATTTGTACTATTTTAAGAACAAGAGAAAATGATTAAGATTACTTCATGTTCAATTTTGTTCCTCAAAACATAGTGTCTTAAATAGCATCATGCTCACAATTAGACGACTGGTGATAAATACAACCACAAAATTAATGCTGAGATTGGATGGGATAAATCAAATTTTGATATGAACTTCTAATTTATAAAAACGATATGTTAACGATAAAATTCCTGGGAAAGGAATATTTAACATTTGTGTCTATATTTTTGCTAAAATATTATGTTGATATCTGATAAAAATCAAAATGTAAATAAGCAAGAGAATCCATTCACAATTCAAACATACTAATTTTGTACCTTTAAATGATTATTTTTCTAATCTTTCCACCTCTCTAAATATGTATCTATTATACACATAAACATACACAGAATGAATATCATACCATATTTATAAGTATAGATTCACTATAACATCTTGGTGCATACTACTATGAAACTACATTATGTAGTTTAAGAGTACTCACTCCACTTTAAGTCTATAGCATAATTTGTCTAATTAAAAACTTATAATGAGATGTTTTATGTTGTCAGTTTTTATCATTATAAATGATACTTCAATAAACATTCTATACCTAAATATGTACTAAATTAATTAATTATTTCTATGATAAATTTGTTGAAGGAGAAAAGTGTCCTCAAAAGGGAACCCACTTACTCAGGGCCCAGAGCTTAGGGCTTGCAGAATTGGGATGCACACCTGCATCTCTTTGATTCTAGAGTCAAAGGTTTAACACTAAAACATGTATCTTTGTGATTTTAAAAATCTTTTTCAAGCTCATAAAATCCCCCCCCTAAATATATAATTTTCAGAATGACCTGTTCTTATACCATCTAAAGTACCATGTCTCCAGCATGATCACTCTTTTCTCCATCTCCCTTCATTATTTATTTTTCTTTGTTGCATTTTTCATCCACCACTTGACATAGTACATATTTTACATATTTGTTTTAGTTGGTCTCCCTACCCTAAACTAAAAGCTCTATAAGACCTGGAGTGTTGTTTCAGTCCTGGCTAAATCTCTCTACACAGGCACCAGCACTGTGCTTAGGACAGATGACTGTATACCTGAGTCTACTTGGTTTTCAAACTTAGTTCTATAACTGTATGATCTAGATGCAAAAGGAACATCAAGTTTATATGCCGACACTGTGAGTGGGCTGCTGAAAAAATAATACTTCATATTCATTGATCATATCAGATGCAGAGATAGGTGGATTATAATAAGCACCATATTCTGGGTGAATAAGATGTGAAATCTGAACACTTTCAAGTATGTGTTAAAATTTGAGGATGTTTAAGCTAAAAAATACAGTATTTGCTAGACACCTGAATGGTGGTTGTGAAATGAACTAGGATCTTTTAGTTTATTCATTGCAGTCGTAGAGAGCTGAAATAAGAACGATGAATAAAAAGTTTTACAAAGTATATGTTTTCAATGTAAGTAGTGGTTTTCTAGCAATCCATAATGGTGCAGAATAGAATACACTATCCTATAAAACAAGCTCCATCATTAAAATTTGCAAGCTTGAGGAGAATAAAAAGATTTTTTGATAAGACTAGAGCTTCAAAGTTTTCAGGAAATAATTTGAATTAGATGACCTCTTTACTACCGATTTTAAAGTGTTTGCTTTATTGGCCTGCATATTTCAATCGTAAAGTAAAAAACAATAAATACCTGTACTATTAGCCTTTGGCACACCTTTTGGAAGACAATCAGTTGAATCATGTTCTCCTAAGGTTATTTGTCTTCTAAATATTGCAAGAGAGACCTATAAAAACATTTCATCTCAACCTTTAATTCTATGAGTAGAAGCACTAGGACAGAAAGGTCACAATCTTTGCAAGTAGAGGATCAAATGCATGCTGCACTGAGCCCACTTAGTCCTAGAAGTGCCCATAAATTAGACATACACAGGTCATCTGGAACTCTTGTCACTCTCAATTTCAGCTCCCTATGCAACTGTTAGTAGTATGGATAGAACTTAGCGTACAATAAATTTCAAGCATAATGGATCATGTGGAAGCCAAGAATTCCCTGCAGCTAATATATAACACACATTGTAATCTCACATTGGAATAGATTCTATTCTGCTATTTAAGAAGGTCATAAATATATCAAGTGTAGTTCTACTAAGTCCATTAGTGAGAGTTTAGGGAATCCAAACTCCTTAGGAATGAGTTAGGGAAATGGTGGTTTATCTTTCATAACTGGTGGGAAAAAATAAGTCATGGCAATTTTATTTTCTCTAATTCTCTTAAGTTGTTTCATTCATTAAACAAAAAAAAAAGTGTGTATAAATTTAGGGGGTAATTATTTAAAACAACCAAAATTTATATATTCATAGACATGCCAACTATTCTCCCAGTTTAAAAATGAATGTTTAACATAATACTTTGAATGTATATTTGCATATTTATATCTTTGTGTATAGGGTTTGATACACATAAAGTACAGGGATAATAGGTAACAACAGTTGATGGGGGTTATCTTTGAAAAGTACAGTTGCATTAGAAAGTAAAGGAATAAAACTTTCTAACAAATATGTATGAACTTTGTAATTTGTAAAAAGACAAAAATAGAAAATGGTGTTTGGAGTTTTTCAGAAAATCACTTAGGATTCAACATGCACAGTGAAGTTTATTATAGTGAATTTATTGATATTACAGTATTGATTATAGCACACATCTTCAATCTAAGGGGAATTGAGTTTTTCTAGAAATGATGTTATTTGATGGGCTAAATAATTTAGAGGGAAATAAGTTTTTAGCAAACCTGTATAAGAATTGATTTTATTTCTCATAAGGCAAAGGCAAAATGTATTCAATTCTCACAGGAATAAAAGGTTTTTGTCAAGATTTTTCTTTCTATGTATTTACTATCTTCATAAAATGAAAAATCTTATTGAAATTTTAAATTACTCACTATTTTAAAGCCTCTATTGACTTGAGCTTTCTTTTTTGATATGTTTACCACCAGGTTTATATTATTTTACAATTAAATGAAACTAATTTCCAGTTGTGATTAGATACAACTTTTCCAGCAGCAATAATCTATACTACACTCATAACAGATGGACACTGGGTTGAGAATTTTTAGAAAAAAGCATTTACATCTTGATTTAAAAGAAAAATAAAAGCCCTGAAAGCAGCAGAAAGATAAATTCACAATTCAAAAAAAAGGTAATACAGGACAAAGTGAAATGCATTGAAATAAGAGGTTAAATTAAGATTTATTTTCCCCCAATTCACATGAATATTACTTCCTGTTATGAAAAAGATGGCAGGTAACTAAAATATAAAGAAATCATTAAGACTACAGCAAGTCATGGCTGATATGGTTCAGTGGTTGAGCGTCTACCTATGAACCAGGAGGTCATGGTTAGATTCAGGTCAGGGCACATGCCCAGGTTGTGGGGCACGCAGGAAGCAGCTGATCAATGATTCTCTCTCATAGCTGATGTTTCTATCTTTCTCTCCCTCTCCCTTCCTCTCTGAAATATATATATA